TTCCGCCGCATCATGGAAAAATCTCAGAAAATCATCGCAAAAATGGCTGAAACAAAGACTGAGGGCTCTTCTTCTGTCTTGCCTAAGAAAGATTACGTGATGACCACTAGATGGGGACCCGAAGTCAATGGAGTCAGGACCATTTTGTCATGCCCTGTACAAAAAGGAATTCCAAAGCTTTGCCACTGCGGCTTAGCTCCAATTGGGTGCTTAACTGACAACTCTGCGCTGGACAGGGGCCGCAAATATTATGGTTGCTTCTACGGCTGTTGTGGCCCAAAAAATTTCTCGGAAGTAAATGTTGGAGTTAATTTTGATTTTTAAATTGAGTATCATCTGAATTTCTGAGTTTCTGGTTTTGAGGTTCCCAGTTGTGGCTTCAAGAAGTGGTGGGATGTCACAATACTCAAAGAGATTGAAATGCTCAATGAAACTCAAGAAGCCATGCGATATTTGTTTGACACCGTTTTCTCCAAGTTAAACCAGTTGGACTCAAAGGTGGCATCCCTTAAGGCAGCTATGAAAAAGAGTTAAGGTTGAAGAAGATTTTCAGTTTTTGGGAGTCCTTATGAGCTATGTTGGCTTGATTGTTGTGTCTTATTCTTATTTACCTGTTTTTTCCCTTTTATGTTTATGTTCCTACTCTCTTTTGTAAGATTCCAGAACTATTTTTCCTTTTATGAAGTCGCTCATGTTATGTTTCTTATCTGTTATCCTCAAAGTTGTACCAGTTGTCCTAATAAAACACATTAAGTTGTACCAGTTGTTCTGAAAAAGGCAGTTGTACCAGTTGTCCTAATAAAACACATTAAGTTGTACCAGTTGTCCTAATAAAACACATTAAGTTGTACCAGTTGTCCAAATAAAACACAAAAGACATAAAGTTTTACCACAAACCAAAACACATAATCTTAAACATAAACAACACATTCTACTTCTTGTCTTTCTTGTCTTTTTTCCAGAGATAAAAGGCGACTTCTTGTATTATGATTTTTTTCTGGGCCTCTTAGTTCCACCTCTACCAGCTTTTGATGAGGATGCTTCTGGTGGTAGTGCGTGTCTTGAGGTGGATGCAGGTGATGGTGCAGTTGATGGCCGAACATCCCAATACATGAACTCAGCTTCCTCCGATGTGTCAACCAGCTTAACCTTGTAACGGTTGTTTGTCATAATTTTCCTCACTATCCCTTGATGCCAGACATCACGCTGCAACAGCTCCACACAATCCAACAAAGAGTACGAGGAGTTTAGAGAAGGAGGTGATGCACGTGGTTGAGGGGAGCCACATGCGCCTCGATGAGAGGAGACTGGTGAAGAGGCGGGTGGTGGAGAGGATAGGCGTGGTTGACGGGAGCCACCTATGGGTCGATGAGAGGAGACTGGTGAAGAGGCGGGTGGTGGAGAAGATTGGCGTGGTTGACGGGAGCCACCTGCGGGTCGATGAGAGGAGACTGGTGAAGAGTCGGGTGGTGGAGAAGATTGGCGTGGTTGACGGGAGCCACCTGCGGGTCGATGAGAGGAGACTGGTGATGAGGCGGGTGGTGGAGAGGATTGGTGAAGGACTAACTACTCAAGCGTCACCACTCTTTTTTTTAATAGATCCATCGCAGCCTTCAGCTCCAACAATGATGTCACCTAAGGTTCAGGTACTTGAGGAGTGTCGGCTATGATTCCACCCCGATGTTGAATGTCTAACTCATACAAAGATCTCCAGAATATCTTCTTCTTCTTCACCGTGAGATGATGCATCCAATCCTCAACACCTACATCAATGAGTCCTATCCCATCATCATAGCCAGGATTTAATATCCGACGCAATAGTTTTTCTTAACCCGAGTCTGCAGGCTTCAAAATACTATGAATGTCCTGGCAACATAAACAAAGATAAATGTCCATCTGTAACAACAAAACGTAAAGTTGTACCAGTTTCCCTTTAACCAAAACAAAAGAAACGTAGTTGTATCAGTTGTCCTAATTGTCCTACAACCAATAATCTTTAATATTGTTGAGTTGTACCAGTTGTCCCTAAATCACTACCAGCAAGTCAAACATAGTTGTACCCTATTGTCCCATAACCAAACCCATCAAATACTAACCTTTGCGCTTGTTCCAATTGCTGCGTTTATATCATCCAATGGAATGCTTTTCATGCATACATCAGTGAACTTGTGCTTGCACATCATCGGACAGTCTTTCTGCGCAGGTACAGCTTCTCGGAATTTGCAGCCAAGACTAGGAATACACTCAAAAGCAAGTATCTACACAAAAAATCAAAAAGTTAAACCCTAAATTATTTAAATAAATTAACTTCTAAAAACTATTGACTGAGAATTACCTGTAGAGGAAGAATGAAACCAGATAAGGGACATTCTGCTTTTTTTGTCTTTGATGCTGCCATTATACCTTGCCATCACACGCCGGATCTTCTTCATCATGTCATCGAATGTGTAACACCCCCAAGGGAATGATTTACACACATTCAAATCACTGACAACTTTGTGCAAGAACGGATTAATGTTACCATCACTCTTGTATTTCGCCTTCACTACCTTGCATAAAAACCAGAGAGGGCCATTTTCTTCTTGTCCACAGAGGTATCATTCATTTCATTTAATTTTTCTTCCACATCCGCAATCTTGATTTTATCCGCCCTACCAAAGTGCTTTTCAACAAACTTTATGTTCTCCAAATTCTTGTAGTCAGTCGGGTAATCACGACAGTCAAGTCCACTCAAAAGTGCATGCTCTCCCAGAGAATACTTTATTGGAACTCCGTTAACAACAAATCAGCACTCACTAAGCCTTTCAGTATGAGCAGTGTGAAGGAGAAGCATCCACAATCCTTGATTCATGTGGTTGCGCTCCTTGAACATGTGAAAAATGTGCTTAAATTGAGGATGCGCTCTGAACCTACTTTCTCCTCATCAAGCTTATCAATCTTGTCCACAATAGTTCTAACCGATCACCTTGTCAATATCCTACAACTCTTGCTGTACTCAGTTGGACCGAAGTAAAGCTTCTCATGCACCATCGGTTGACTACCATTATTGACATCCTGAAATATAAACAAGAAACACAATCATATCAGACTTAGTTGTCCCAATTGTCCGCGTGTTAACTAATTCTGTTAAACTAAGTTGTACCAATTGTCCCAGTTGTCCAACATTTGACCAAAACAAACATTCATCGAACACAGTTATCCCAGTTGTCCTAGTTGTCCAACGACCAAGTAATCCTAGTTGTCCCAATTGTCCAACATTTGACCAAAATAAACATTCATCGAACACAATTATCCCAGTTGTCCTAGTTGTCCAACGACTAAACATAATTTCATCAAACACAGTAATCCCAGTTGTCTCAGCTGTCCAACATTTGACCAAAGCAAACATTCATCGAACACAGTTATCCCAGTTGTCCTAGTTTTCCAACGACCAAACATAATTTCATCAAACACAGTAATTCCAGTTGTCCAAAGGCCAAACATAATTTCGTGCCAATAGGTATCCTAGTTGTCATAGTTGTCCAACGACCAAACATAATTTCATCTAAATAGTTAAACCAGTTGTCCAGTTCTCCCAGATACACAAAGTATACTTACCTCTAAATCTTCATCTGCCTCTTCGACATGCTCTTCTTCCGCTGCATTTTCTTCCTCTTTATTTCCTTCCTCTTCATTTCCTTCCTCTCCTTCTCCCTCGTCGTCTTTCTCGGGCGTCCCCCCTCCCTCTTCGTCTGCTTCTTTCTCGGATTCCTCTTTTCTACTATCTTTCTGCGATTGTTCATCCTCGACCTCCTCTTCTCTTGTTTCCTTCTCGGATTCCTCTTCCTCGGCTTCTTTCTCTGATTTCTCTTCCTCGCTTTTTCTTTCCGAAGTCTCATCCTCAGATACATCTCCCTCTTCTTCTTTATGGGATTCTACCACTCCTTCTTCCTCGGCTACTGTATCCGCTAAATCCTCTTTTTCAGGTTCTTCACGACATTCCAACCACTCCTCTGGTTGATCCGTTGCACCGTCGTCCGTGGGTGTTGATGCGGTTTCAGAGGCTTCTTTGGTGGTTTTGGTATCGACTGGGTCTACTTCCATCAATGTTTCGTCTTCTCTCCGAGTTTCTTCATGGTTGTTTTTTCATCATTCGCCGGAGAGTTTGGGGTTATTCCTGGGTCTTTATCTTCCACATGTGCTTCTTCGCTGCAATTGGGTACAGGATCGTTCGAATTTTAACCATGTGCTTCCACATATACCACACTTTTTACTCGAGTTTTAACCATGGAGTTAGGGTTTGTTTTGATGTATGTAGAAAGATAAATTAATGAAAAAAAGTAAGGGAAGTTGAAGAAGGGGAAGAAAAAGGAGAAGTTACAAAATCTAGTCTTTATCAGGGTCTTTTTAAAGGAGAATTTGCAGAATTTTCGAAGGAGTGAGGGGAATGGAGATAGCCGTTCGGGGAAGATGAAGAGAGGAAAAGGGGAAATCAAGATTTGATTTTCGATTTCAATTTAATCGATTGTGTTTGGTTCGGTTTCGATTACCCAATTTTGTTAAAGAATTAAAATTTTCGTGATTATGACAACATACAAGAAAAAAGATATAATTTCCAAGCTCAAGCTTTGCTCTCTCCATCGAGTCTTGTTTCTCTCTCCGATGAGTTAATATTTGTATCTGGGTTTGTCTTAGAATTTCAATTTTCGTTCTCTAAACTTCAAAACATCTTCGAACATATTGGGCTTGTTTGTTTCATATGGGCCTAATTGGTTTAAATCAGAAATTGGGTTTGTTCAAGCCCTATACCAAAGAAGCTTTTTTTTTGGTTTCGTGGTACATGGAGAACGAGATTATGAAGTTAAACAAGTCGGCTACGTATTGCTATAAAAGAAGCAAAGACTTTGAAGCAGAACCCTAACACAGAAAAAGAAAACACAAGCCGTGAGTACAAGTTGGAGATAGAGAGAGAGAGCAATTTAGAGAAGAGAGAAAAGGGAATCCAAGAGAGTACCAAAGGAAGTTCGTGTCTTCTTTGTGTTGTGATTCAAGTCTTCTTCTTCTATTGTTCTAATCTATTACTTGTATCTGAAACACAAAGAAAACGCCGGTTAGTGCGTTTGTGTATTCTTTGATTGATAGTGGAGGTTGTGGGAGACGGTTCCCATCCCAGACGTAGCGGTTCGAGGCCATGAACTGGGTGATCAAATTTTTGTGTTCTTTAAGTTTCTAATTCATCTAATAGATCCTAAGATCTAAGCACTCAGGAGAAGTTAAAAATCCTTACAGAACATCAAAATTGTTTTTGGGTTTCTGGGTTTGCTGTTAGCTTCGGATTCATTGGAAATACTGAAAGTATACTATTTTGCTTGACAAATTCCCTGTTAATGATGTGTTTTAAGTTATTTGATTCGATGTTCTTAGATTCTATATTCATCCTTTTGTTCGTGTTTCTCTTTGACAGCTTCTCGACATGATCATGTTTTGACAGTTTCTGCTGGTGCTACTCCAAGGTTCTCTTCCTCTTTGACAAGGATCATCCTTAACCGGTTCCACTTGCTTCTTAGAACTGTACACAGGTGTCCTCTATCTCTATCGCGCCTTCGTCTTTAAGCATCGTGTTTCTGTTTTACTGGATTCAAAATTTACTCGCCATTGGTTTAGTGATTTGTGAATCATCATTGATACTAGCTTCATTTTCTGTTTCACAAAGGATAACTTTAAAATGTGTTGTTTCAATCGGTAGGAATAGTTCAATACAAAGTTATCTCATCTTTGTTGATTCACATGTTTGCTGGCTCATGTACAAAGAGAGTTTTACAGGTTTTCCATGAACCTAAGTTGCAATAGTCATGTGTCTTGTTGTTGCAAAGTTCTAGCCGCTTGTTAAATCTTTGTTTGCTAGGTCGTATACAAAAAGAGTTTTACAGTTTTTCCATTTTCTGTTGTTAGAATAACGTCTAGACAGTTGAAATAGCAATCATCTAGTATTGGGACTTATTAGCCAGGTTTAGATAGTAGATTGATGATCCTGATGCTGTTTTAGTGCTTTGTTTTTCTCTGTTTTTCAAACAGCAAACAGCGGTACTCTGCTTTTCTGTTTATCACATGTGATGTCTCCATTGAATGACCACTGTGAGTTGTTCTTGACAACGAGTGAGTTTTTGTTGGGCTTAGCTGCTTCTTTCTTTTGGCCCATCTTTGTTTTTCTTGTAAACTCATCATTCAAAACGTCGTTTTGACTCATCTTACTTTTTTGGTTTTTAGACTCATCTTACTTTGTTGTTGTTGCTCTGTTTTGCAGTCCCTAATGGTATTCCTCCTTGTCTCGCAATATTGGTTAACAGCTCTGTCAAAGCGATTTGGAAAGTAAAACAATAGAAAGAGAATGCTTTTAAATCCAGTATTTACTTACTCGCTTCATCTAGATGATTCATCTGGCTGATCCGTCCGGATCAAAACATGAGAGCAGATTACTTTGTCTGACAAAACAGGAGGAAATCGGATTTACCAAAGAATGCTTTTGAATTCAGTATTACCATCTTCCTGCAAAAACTAAACAAAACAGGAGGAAATCGTATTTACTTTGTCTTACACCCTCTTTGAGGAGAAATGTTTTTTTTTCTTTGGTAAAATTTGAGGTGGAAGTGTTGCCAACATGAGAGCAGATTATCAAAACTGAGTATGTGACAGTGGGTTATACACTTCATTATCCATTTACACCATTTTGCAGCAAAACTCATTTTATTCATCAATGTTTCTACAAAAGTCAATTCCACCTTATCAAAAGCTTTACTAATTCCGCCTTATCTCAGATATGTACTCAAGCTTAGGCAAAGCAAAAAACTCACATTGTTTCGACAAAATGCTGGTATATACAGCAACTTTTGTTGGAACAAAACGATAATATCTTCACCAGCAATTTATCAGGCATTCCTCTGTCCATATCTTTAAAAAAAATTATGACTTATTGAAAAACTTTGATTTTGGTCTTCCCTGAATAACAAGAAATACACAAGATAACCACACCGTAAGACTCAAACGGATTTTGTCTAAAGCCCAAGCAAAATGAATTAGGAAGCTGTTGAATAGCGAAGGTTTAGTCAAGTCTTCAACCAAACCGATCGGTTTGTAATTTGGTTTCGGCTATAAACGTGACCCGAAAACCAAACACCGCCAGTTTTTTTAACTTCTTTACCATCTCAGGTTCTCTTCTTAACTGCCTAACGAACAATCCAGGACCGAAAAAAAAAAAAGAGAGACGAAGCCATTCAAAAAGATCAGATTTCAGGTTCGTGATTCGGTTTTAGACTAGACTATGATCATAAACATATGTAGTCTTAAACAGCTCCAGATGATAACACTAACCACACAACAATAAAAATATGTAGAGTCTTAAACAGCTCCAGATCACCGATCAAATACAAGTTGGCATTCGGTTGACGCACGAGGAGAAAGTGCCAACTCTTGTATCATGTCACGGTTTTTTTCAAAGAAACGATTATTAAACAAGATTGTTGCGGTCTTTAAGTGATGTGCGTTTTTCAAGACATAAATCACAAGATCTTTCTCTTCTGGTCTTCCTAAATATCCTGAAAACTTGAAAGTTTGTAGGCTCGACAACATACATTCAGGAACAGTACTTTGTTGATTCCAGAAAATCACACCATTAGTTCCATGAACCTGAGTATCAAGAAGAAGAATTAGACTCATGAAAACCATAGTGTGTGTGTGTGTGCGCATTATGAAGACAATGTTTATCGAAGAAACTTACATCCCTTCTACTGCGACATAGATCTAGGCCTAGCAAACGTAACTTAGGCGAATCTTTAAGCAGACGGACTTGCACATTCAACGAATATCTTTGGTACATACGTAGATTCAGATGTACAAGCTGGTTGAAGACAAAACCACCACCATACACATCCTGCACACAATACTAAAATTTCACTAACACAAGATTCTATAAAAATTAGATTCAATATACATAGAGTTGAGGAAACTGATTACCTCTGAACCATAGTCTACTTGCAATAATGTGAGACGCTTGACAGATGTGATTGATCCGATAAGCCTCTCGAGAATAGGAAAGCTAACATTTACATATGCCTCACTCAGCTTAGGCATATTCTCAATCAAACAGTGGTGAATCTTAAAGCTATAATATGTAAAATCCAAGTACTTCAAAGAAGGAGTCTTTACCACAATCTCATCTAAATGATCATCACCTCCAAGGAATGTTAAACGTTTCAAAGACGGGACGATAACAATGAATTTTCTCAAATTATTACCACCACGACTTTGCACAAATAGATCTTTAAGAACAGGGCAATTAGATAGAAGCTGTTGAAGAGAATCTTCATTGAGGTATGTCATACATTCAAGTCGCAAAGTTTTGAGACAAGGAAGGCAAACCATACGAGGAACATCCACAAGAATCATTCCATTGAGTTTCAAGGTCACGAGCGATTTGCAGGTATACAAGCTACTCGACAAGATATCCTGCTCGTTCTGGTAAGTAAAATAAGAAATCTCCAGCTCAAGGACGTAGCGAGAAACTACAGTTAGAACCCATAGTTTGATATCTCCAGGTTCTAAATGTGGATAACGAAAGTAAAGACGTAAGCTTTCTATAACCGGAGTTTTATGTAATGGCAGATTTCTGTCAAGAAAACACTTTAACCTCTTGTCTTCAGACTTTGAATAACAACAACTACTAGTGTACACAAGTTTAGGAAGCCACATCCAAAGAAACTCCCACTGTTTGGACAAGATGCTAGTGGAGACAGCAACTTTGGTTGGAAGAAACGATAATATCTTTATCAGCAAGTCATTAGGCAACTCACTGATTCTGCCCATATCGTATAGATTCGAATAACAAAGGAGAATAGAGAAAAGAGACCACAAAGACTAGAACAATGATTTGATTCTCTAATTAACCTGTTTACAACTTGTCTCTGCCTCTCGTCTCTTTCTGTTCGAACCCACAAGTCATTATGTAGGCCACAAAAGATTAAGTAACAAAAGTGAAACACGGCCACTCCAAGGAACAGCACAAAACCCTAGAAAATCTGGAATGTCTATACACATCAAACCGGTCGGCTCAAACTTTAATTGGAATATTACCGAATGGTTTGATGCCATTAGTGATCTAAATTGGAAGATTTATTTTTCAGGTTGAGGTTTGTCCACTAGATTATAACCCTGTGCGGACACACGGAAATTTTATATTTTTTATTTCTAATATATTTTTTTAATAAAAGTTATTTTTGTTATTTATTTTTTTTAAATCAAGAATTTTGTTATCATGAATTTTGTTATCATGTTTTAGTTTTGAATAATATAAATTTGTATATTAGTAGAATAAGAGTATGAGTTAATTGAGTAATTGATCTAGTGTTAATTATAAACTTTTTTATTATGTAAATTTAGATTTACACATAAACAATTTACATATCTATGAACTAAGCCGTTTGTTTAGTTATTTCAAATTATTTTTTTTAATATTTTACATTGACAAACTAATCCGGATAAAACTGTAATTATAAATGCATAACTCTAACTTATTCTATTATTTTGTTATATAATATAATTATTTATCAATAGTGAATATTTTATATTTTAAAGTGATTAATTATGATAAAATACAATAAGATATTCATTTACCATTTGTGGTATTATAAAAATTTTATTTAAATCTAACATGTATTTAAGAAATTCTCAAGTAACTACAATTATTATCTACGTAATAAATTTATTTATAATTGTTTTCTGAAACAATCCCGGCTTTTCTCTTATACACCCACTTGCTTCCAATAGGTTTATGCGTTTCAACTCTGTCCACTAAGACCCACGTCTTGTTCTTCTCCAAAGACCTCATTTCTTCATCACTAGCTTCTAACCACTTATCCATGTCTTCATCAGCTAACGCCTCTTGATAACTCTCCGGTTCAGACTTTCCACCATCTTCTGTAACCAGATACGCATAACCAGCTATCTCATCTGAATCCTCATCCCCATAGATTTCATAATCTTCCAGCTTTACGGGTAATCTGATCTGTCTCTTCGGTCTATCTCTGATTAACTGATGACCCCTTAGATCCTGAGCGGATGATTCAGTTTCTTCACTCATACGAGACCCTTGATCCTGGTCTTCATCTCCAGTATCTCCACCTCGAACTGTGTCCTCTTCAGTTGAACCTGTATCTGCAAAATCAAAGCTAGACATTTCATTAGTACTAAAAGAAGGTTTAGAGATACTTGTCTGTTGTCCGAGTTTGAGATCCTTGTATAGCATATCTTCTCTGAACACAACGTTACGGCTTATAATGCACTTGTTCTCTTCAATTAACCAGACTCGGAAACCCTTGACTCCTTCTGGATATCCAGTGAAGATACCCTTCTTAGCCCTTGGGTCTAGCTTCCCCTCATTCGAATGTACATATGCAACACAACCGAAAGTTTTCAAACCAGTTAGACTCGGCATTGATGTCGTCCAGCGTTCTTCAGGTACATCAAACCCAATGGCACTAGAGGGAGTTCTATTTATTAAGTACACCGATGTTGAGGCAGCTTCAGCCCATAACTTTTGATCTAAACCACTCTCGCTCAGCATACTCCTGACCTTGTTCATGATCGTTCTATTTAACCTCTCTGCTGTTCCGTTTTGTTGAGGCGTATATGTACAGGTCCTATGCCTTACAATACCTTCACCTTTGCAGAATTGATCAAATCGTTGATTACAAAATTCGAGCCCATTATCGGTCCTAAAATCGTTGATTACAAAATTCGAGCCCATTATCGGTCCTAAACTTCTTCACCTTACGTTCTGTTTGAGTCTCCACCATCTTCTTCCACTCGACGAACTTAGTGAAAACTTCATCCTTGGTTCTCAAGAAATATATCCACACCTTCCTTGACCAGTCGTCGGTGAAGGAGACGAAATACTGACATATCTTCCTAAGCTCAAAGGAACATTAGGAGACCCCCACAGATCTGAGTGAATGTAATCAAGTCTTTCCTTGGTTGTATGTTGAGCCGATCCAAAACTAGTCTTGTGTGTTTTACCCAAAACACAATCTTCACAGAACTTGATCTCCGATACCTTGTCTTTACCAAAACAGCCCTTCTTCGCTGGCAAATCCATACTCTTCTGACCAACGTGTCCTAACCTGCTGTGCCAAGTCTTAGTCTGATCACTCTCTTCAGCATTACACGCCTCAGATATCTTTGCTGACCCCTGTAGAATGTACAAAGTATCCTGCCCCTTCCTAGCACCTTTCATAATAACCGAGCAGCCCTTTATCACTTTGATCACTCCCTTCGCACCCTTGAACTCACATCCTTTCTCTTCTAACGTTCCCATCGAGATCAAATTCCGAGATATATCTGGCATATATCTCACTTCTGAAAGTGTGAATGTGGTTCCATCTTGATTCTGAAACATCACCGAACCAATACCTTTTATCTCACACTGTGAACTGTTAGCCATTCTAACCTTTCCTGAAGTTACTTCCCGGAATTCTATGAAAATATCCCTTCTTGGTGTCATATGGAACGAGCATCCAGTGTCCATAATCCACTCTTCCCTGTCTGACTCCTTTAACGACAATTTTACTTCTAATGCAATAAGTCCAACCAGATCTCGAGCATCGTCTTTAGCTAAGGAAGTCTCTCCTTTATCGGTCTGTACTTTATGCTTGTTCTTCTCCAGCCATTTGTAGCACTGTTTCTTATAGTGCCCTTCCTTGCCACATATCCAACAAATCTTCTTGCCTTCTTTAGACTTGGATCTTGACCTCCCCTGTCTCTTACTATTTTGTTGACCTCTAGTTTTGGATCTGCCACGAACATAATGACCCTCCGAAGACTTACTCTGCATTGAGTTTAGAACTCTTTCTTTGGACCTAGCCGAGCTCGCAATATCCTCTAACCTTACTGTCTCTCTCCCATACTTAAGCGTTTCCTTAAGCGATTCAAACTTAGGCGGTAAGGCATTAAGGAGTAAGATTGCTTGTACCTCATCTGGAACTTCTATGCTTAGATGGCTGAGCTCTCCGATGATCTTCAAGAAATTATCAATGTTTTGGTCGATCGTGCGGCTTTCTTGCATCTTATAACCATAGAGTTTAAGCTGTGAGTCAACTCTGTTTGGCAAGGACTTTGACATGTATGACTTTTCCAGAAGACTCCACGCCTCCGCCGCAGTCTTGCAGTTCTCGATCTTGCGTAGTACATGATCACCAACATTTAGGCAGATCAAGTTTAACGCCTTTTCACATCGTGCAGATCTTTTCTCGTCTTCTGCTGATTTTCTTCTTTAGCTTTTCTCTGGATCTTTATCTGTGCTTGTACTTTCTTCTTTATTTGGCTCTTCTTCGGTTCTCTCGGTGAGAACATCTTTGAGACCTTGAACACTGAGATGCGCAAGCATCCTACGCTTCCATAAGGAGAAATCCCCGGTTCCATCGAAGAAACAAACCACCTCCGCTTTAACCCCAGATGTTGACATCGCCGGATCGATTTGATCTTTCGACGCTTGAGGTCGGGATCTGAATCGACTTGGATCTTCAAGGTTTCTTCGAATCTTGTGCTTCTTATTATGCGATTATCTTCTTCGCCGAAAAACCTCAGCTCTGATACCAATTTGTGAAGATTAGATCCTCTACTTCGCAAATCGAAAGAACAGAAAGTAAATCCACACCGAGAGTTTTACGAGTTCGGGGCAAAACCGCCACCTACGTCTCGCCGGAGGAATACTCCGGAATTCACTATTCTTGCTCGAGCTTGAGCTGATTTACAATGGCGTCTCTCACTCTCTCTCTAAGATACAAACCCTAAATCTTCGGGATGATTATGTATCTTAAGAGAGAATGTATTATGTGAGGAATGTGACTTTATATCTCAGCCACTTACACGATTCCCACACGTGCCTAATAACCCAGCCTAAACCGGCTTCTACTTTCCCCACATAACCGAGACTACCTAAATTGGTTTAAGGACACATACTCTTCAATAGGAAAGCGAACATGTAAATATGCCTCCCTCAGCTTAGGCATATTCTCAATCAAACAGTGGTGAATCTTAGAACTATAATACTCATGATGCAAGTACTCCAAACAAGGAGTCTTTATCACAATCTCATCTAAATCATCAATTTACGGAGTTTTAAACGTTTCAAAGACGAGACGATAACAATGAACTTTCTCAGATTATCAGATACACTCTTTCCACAGATAGATCTATAAGAACATGGCAATTAGATAGAAGCCGTTGAAGAGAATCTTCATTGCGGTATGTCACCCGTACAAGTCGCAAAGTTTTCAGACAAGGAATACGAGGAACATCCATGAGAATGTCTCCGTTGAGTTTCAAGGTCACGAGCGTTTTGAGTTTCAAGGTCACGAGCGTTTTGCAGGCAAACAAGCTACTCGGAAATATGTTGTTCGGCACGCTCAAAGAATAAATTTGATAAATCTCCAACTCTTGTATGTTGCGAGAAACTGCAGTTAGAACCCACAGTTTGATATCTTCAGGCTTAAATTTTCTTGCACCAAACTCGAGGCGGAAGCTTTCAATAACCGGAGCTCTATGTAATGGCAGATTTCTGTCAAGAAAACACTCTAACCTCTCGCATTCAGACTTTGTATAATATTTACTATCGTACTCGAGTTTGGGCACCAACTTCCAAAGACATTCCCATTGTTTCGACAAGATGCTAGTGGATACAGCAACTTTTGTTGGAACAATTCACCAGTAATTCTTCAGGCAGTCCACTGATTCTGTCCATATCGTACAAATTCAAGATACCGTTATTGCGAATAACAATGGAGAATAGAGAAAGACAACACAGATTTCTTCTCTCTCACGTCTCTCTGCCTCCCGTCTCTTTCTGTTCGGTGTTAGGTCTTCTGCCTCGATATCTTCTTCCTTAAGTAACACAACTTTAGCCGACTTGTACAAGTCACGATTTCCTTCTTCTTTTTTCTCTCTATTTGGACTTTGATTTGGCGTTGCCGAAATAATGAGAGCACAGGCCCATCTGATGAAGCAAGCAGGCCCACACAAACGATTTAGTAACAAATGAAAACACATGGTATGGTATTTCATATGAGTCTTTCACCAATGGGAAAAACAATTATTCTATTGAGTGAGTATCTCAAAGATGGGATATTTTTGGATGGTTTTTTTTTTTTTACTATTTTAGATATACAATCAATAGAAAATTTTTGTCAATTTTGATAGAATCATGTGCGATACAATTGATGAAAGTTTTCTAAGATCTTATCCTTTATGGGTCAATGTACCATAGTTGATGTTTTCAAAAGTAATTAGTTGGACTTAGACTAATGTACCACCAAAATCACTTTTTTCTTTTGCAAGAGATTATTCTTAGATCAGAAAAGTGAGTATTATAATTAGTTCTTAGATCAAGAAATTCAAACCAGAAATGTTACCAGGTCGCGGTTTTAACCAGTTGGACCAGCTGGTCCAGTCGGTGTTTCAAGAAATTGGTAAAAAATCGACCCATTTTTTTTTTTTTTTTTTGCTGTGGTTAAGTCTCAGAGCACACCGATCGGCGATCGGATCGTATTTGGTTTCGGCTATAAATCCTATAATCATGTAAAGAGAAGAACAGTGCAAGACATGATTCATGCTTATCTTTATGTCAAGAAACTATGTTACCTCTGTTTCTAAAACAATGTGATTTGGGTGTTACATCAGTATAATTCCTACCTAAAATGCAACGGCCTAATATTGACTTGATAAATAAAAAGGAAAAAAAATCACCGATCAAATATTTTGGTGTAAGAGGAAAGATTCCTCTACTCGGTTGTTTTTCTAAATCGTCCAGATAATAACATTTCTAGTACTGCTTAACAAGCAAGAGTAAAATAAGAGAAGAAAAAGCCTATTAAAATTCCTGATTAGATTAGACTATATTGTCTTTAGGGTATGATCATACACATAATTTGTAGCTCAAGATGATAGAACTAACCAACAAGAGTTTTAACACAAAGCTTAGAGGTGGACAGTAAATCATCAAATACAAGTTGGCATTCGGTTGACGCACGAGGAGAAAGTGCCAACTCTTGTATCATGTTAGGGTTTTTTTCAAACAAATGATCTTTAGACAAGATTGTTGCAGTCTTTAAGCAACGAGCGTTCTTCAAGATATAGATGGCAAGATCTCTCTCTTCCGGTCTTCCTAAGTATCCTGAAAACTTGAAAGCTTGGAGACTCGACAACATACATTCAGGAACAGTACTTGGTTGATTCCAGAAAATTACATCAGATTGGCCATGCTCCTGAGATCAAGACGAAGGATTAGTTAGACAACCATAGTGCGCATTATACAAACCAGTTTATTAGTATATCGAAGAAACTTACATCCATTTCAACAAAATCTAGCACTCGTAGTTTAGGGGAATATTTGAGAAATCGGACAAGCATATTCAAAGCATATGCATCCCATTTACATACTTTTAGATGTTCAAGCTGGTTGAAGACAAAATCATCACCATTATACATACCCTGCACAGAATATTAAAATCACTAGCAGAAGATTCTATGAATGATATTGAAGACATGGAGTTGCAAAAATATCTGATTACCTCTAAACAATAGTCTTCTGTGCATAATGTAAGACGCTTGACAGATGTGATTGATCCGATAAGCCTCTCGAGAACTGGAGAAATAACATCTAAAGATGCCTCCCTCAGCTTAGGCATATTCTCAATCAAATAATGGTGACTCTTACAACTATAATAATCAAGTTTCAAGTACTCCAAACAAGGAGTATGTATCACAATCTCTTCTAAATCATAAAGAGTATCGAGTTTTAAACGCTTCAAAGAAGGGACGATAACAATGAACTTTCTCATATTATCATCTTCACACCCTTTCACCAATAGATCTTCAAGAACAGAGCAATTAGATAGAAGCCGTTGAAGAGAATCTTCACTAGAGTATCTCACATCTTGAAGATGCAATGTTTTCAGACAAGGAAGGCAAACAACACGAGGAACATCCACAAGAATCCTTCTACGGAGTTTCAAGGTCACGAGCGTTTTGCAGGTATACAAGTTACTCGGCAATATATCCTGCTTGTTCTTGTAATTAACATAAAAAATATCGAGCTCACGGATGTAGCGAGAAACTACAGTTAGAACCCACAGTCTGATATCTCCAGGTTCAAAATGTGGATAATAAAACCCGAGACGGAAGCTTTCAATAACCTGAGCTCTATGTAATGGCAGATTTCTGTCAAGAAAACACTTTAACCTCTTGTATTCAGACTCTGAATAGTATCTACCATCGTACTCAAGTTCAGGAAGCCACATCCAAAGAAAAACTCCCATTGTTTGGACAAGATCCTAGTGGACACAGCAACTTTGGTCGGAAGAAACGATAATATCTTGACCAGCAAGTCATTAGGCAACTCACTGATTATGACCATATCTTATAAATTCGAATAACAAAGGAGAATAGAGAAAAGAGAGCACAAAGACTCGAACTCTGATTTTTCTTCTAATTAACCTTCTGACAACCTGTCTCTGCCTCTCGTCTCTTTCTGTTCCAAAGCACAAGTCATTATGTAGTAACAAAGGAAAATACAACCACTCAAAGGAAAAAACCCTAGAAATGTTTGGAATGTCGATACACATCAAACCGGTCGGCTCCAAAATTGAATTGGAATATTAGCGAATGGTTTGCGTATATCCATACAAAATTAAGATTATAAAACTCCTATAAAGATTATTATAAAACCTAAATTCATACTCTAATTATAGTTTCGGAATTTCTTACGTCCTACTCTTTTGTACGAAACCGGTCCGGTACGATTTATATCACCTAAAACGGAACAAAATCTTTTTTTTTCCAGATCAACACGCGCCGTTTTGGTAAGGTTGACTAGGTGCTCTTAATAACACGAAGGGCTGCGTATCAGTGGATTATTTACCATCTTTAATTCTTAAGGCGGATGAATAAAATAGCCTTCCTTTTAAATCTCACAGATCTATCGCCATTGTTGCTCTTCTTCACTTCTTAGCTTCTTTCAAACTCGCGTTGAGTAGGTAAAAGTCTCTACGAAATCTTCTTAAGCTTTTCACTTTCTTCTTTCTTTATCGTCATAGCTTACTAGAAATTCTTGAGATTTCTGATTCGTTGCTTCCTAATCCTTCGTGTCGTTTCATCTCCCCCCTTCCAAAATTTTCGAAAATTTCTCAACTTTTTCTTTGAGAGTATATGCTTCACGTTTCGAATTGAGTAGATTAAGCGCTGGTCACTGTTTTTTAATTAAATTTTGAACCCTGCTTTTTGCACAAATTTGGTGGAAATCTTATCTTGTTATGGAATTGTTTAAGTTAATAATGTCTAAAGGTTTCGGGATTTTCTCTAGGGTTTGAATCTCTAGTTTTTTTTTGTTTACACTTAATTTTCTGGATTCCCATTTGGGTTTGGGGTTAAAAAAACGAGCTTTTTGCTCCAGGAGCTGTTCTCATGTTAGATTGTAAATTGCTTTCCGATTTAGAGTAATCAAAGATTGGAATATGTTGAGTCTTTGCTCAAGGATCTAAAATCTTGTGTGCCTTTGTTTCGGATATGATTCTGTTTTTGGTCTTGAGATAATGTTTTTGTCTTCTATTCAATTTTTATCTTGCTCTTGCTTTTCTGATACTGTCTTTTCTTATAACAGGGTATTTTTTTATGGGGGTTAGTGAAATTGTTTTAAGGATATAAGCTCGCATCTCTGTTTAGAAATGGAAGCTGAGGATGTGCTTGACCTACCAGCTTCAAGCCATTCTGGTTTCGAAGCACAGAAAAATGGCCTTGAATCTGGGAATAAGTCACCTAAGGCTAATCCTCTTGTACGTAATGAGGTGAACATGATAAGGAATCTAGGTATGGAGAAAGATTTGGATCTTGTGGAAGAGAATTTGAGAACTGTAACACAGCAGGTTAGTGACGTTGTTGAAACGGTGGCGGTAGATGAGAAATTGTGTATCCCAAAGGAGACACTAATTCACGGCGCCACTTTGGATGTTAGTTGTATCCTTCTGTTGCTCTTCTATGTTGAAAGGTTGCTTGCATTTCCTGACGATAAGAAAGTCTGGCACTTGATCTGTTTCTGTAATTATTTTCTGCTCAGACTTGATGTCTGTGACTATGTTATCTTCTTGTGCTTTTCCATAATTCCTCGTGACAGCTAAATCGGGTGTTAAAAGAGCCCGAACATCGTCTGACGAACAGCAACCTACAGTCCATGTTACTTATAAGAATTTAACTAGGTATGAAAAAAGAGTCATGTAGTGCTGTTTACCTATGAACATTAAAATTTGGAATGCTCAAGCACTGCTTTTACTATGTGATTCCCTTCTTTACCATTGTTTTAATCTCTCAATGGAATGCATTTTTCAGAGCTAGTAAGAAGAAGCTGGAAAGTTTATTACAGCAATGGTCAGAATGGGAGGCAGAACACACTTCACTGGCTCAGGTATTGCAAAAATATGATACTAGATTGGACCATATAAAGTTTCCTAAAAGAGCTATGTAATAAATAGGCCTTAGCCATATTAGTATTTAGAAACCAACTATTTGGTGTATGTAAAACAGAATTAGCATTTACTAATGCATGCTTATCATAGTCCTAAATATCGAAATCTTTCTTCTAGTATTTGAGCAATTCAGCTATAATCTTTTAGTTTATTCGAATACTTTTTTTTTCACTTATGATGTGTGAAACTTTAAGAATATTTTCATTGGTTATATGCTCAGGATCAAGAACAATCATTACAATCTGGTGAGGAGACATATTTTCCCGCCTTACGTGTTGGATTGCAGAAGACTTCGTCTGTGGTGAGTGAAAGATGTTGTCAAACGCTATTAAATGTTGTTTAGTGTTCATATCGGTAATATATATATGAGATGTCAACTGGTTCTCTCTTGCATATTGCAGTCATTCTGGATCGATAACCAAACTGGTCCTAAGCCGTTAGAAGAGTTTGTTCTAGTGGAAAGTAGCACCACTCCTCTTTATGACCGTAAATTTTCACTCCGTTTGAATTCAGCAGATGGATCAAATAACTTGGAAGGGTAAACTGAATCTCTATTTGTATATAGTTTCCTCCTGTTTCTAGTTTAATCTTCCACAGATCTTGATGCATCCTTTATACTCCTTTGTATATTGTAATATAACCTAACCGTGAATGTGTTAATGGTGGTGCATTCTTGTAACATTCCATGCTTCTTTATTGTTCCAGGGGGTTGGAGATTCCTGATGATCCTCCACGTTGCTTTAATTGTGGCGGCTATAGCCATTCCTTGAGAGAATGTCCAAAGCCTTTTGATCGAGCAGCAGTTAATAGTGCCCGGAAGCTTCAGAAATCCAAACGAAATCAGAATAGTGGATCCCGTCTACCATCGAGATATTATCAAAAACCTCAAAGTGGAAAGTATGATGGCTTGAAACCCGGCACGCTTGATGCAGAGACACGCCAGCTTCTGAATCTTGGGGTAATGTTTGAACCTTATTTCTGCGTTTAGTTCTACCAATATGCTGAATTCAAGATTCTTAGATCAGAAAAAGTGAGTATTCTAATTAGTTAATTTCTTCTTGTGAAGGAACTAGATCCTCCTCCGTGGCTTAACAGAATGCGAGAGATTGGGTACCCTCCAGGATACTTAGGTAAGCTTTTCTGCTCTGTTGTATCGCCGTTCATGTAACTACACGAGATTCTCACGCTATTTATATTGTGTCTGCTTCGTTCTGTGCTACGATTCTAGCTCCAGAAGATGATCATTTATCTGGAATTACCATATTTGGAGAAGAGGTGGAGACGCAGGAGGAAATGGAGAGCGAGGACGGGGAAATCTTGGAAAGAACAACCCCTCCAGAACCACAGATGAAAAAGACAGTTGAGTTCCCTGGAGTTAACGCGCCATTACCGGAAAACGCAGATGAGTGGCTTTGGGAAGCTGCACCTTCATATAGGAGCGGGAGAAGCAACAGCCGGTTGCAGCAAAGATCAAGCAGAGGACATGATTACAGAGACGATGGTCTGCTCGGGGTTGAGTCATCTAGTTATCCTCCAAGGTATGGTAGTAGAAATGATTATGGGTATGGCTCAAAAGATTTTAGATCTAGATCAAGAAGTCCAGGCATTGAAAGATCGCTAACCGAAAGAAGTAAGAGGGATTATTCTGCTCATGATATTGATTTTCGGGACAGAGACAGAAACAGAGACAGGAACAGAGACTGGGATAGGGATAGGGTCAGGGATAGAGACAGGGATAGGGACAGAGACTGGGACAGGGACAGAGACTGGGACAGGGACAGAGACTGGGACAGGGACAGAGACTTGGACAGGGACTGGGATAGGGACGATCGTGATTGGTCTTATAGAGTAAGCAACAGAAGATGAATGGTGAGATTGTAGAGGTTTTAGGGTTTCATTTTCTACTCTCTCTTTCGATCTTTTTTCTACCTCTAATTGAATCTGTTGTTGTATCATGTCCATGAAAGTGGAAACTTTTTCCTATTCAGACTTTGGATTTTATACGTCTAGATTTAGTTTGGGACAAGATATGATTGAGACTTGTATGAATGGCTTTTTTTCTTTCCTCCTGCCAATTTCTTTATTTTCAAGGGAAAGGTAACACATACGAAAGGCAAAACTTATTAAAAGCCAAATAATCAAAATTTTAACAACCAAATGTACACATGTACATATCTACATTTACACATGTACATATCTACATTCAAAGGTATTTTTTATATTTTTACGAGTTAAAAATTCTAGTCAATGGCCAACCAATGATGATGCAATTTAATAGGGTTCGTGATAGATCACGTTGTCTATTGAGTGAAAAGAAAGGAAGGCACGTTGACACTACTTCTCCTTCCAGGCAGCTTGTTAAGTTCATCGACAAACATTTCGTAACCAGCCATCAAGACAAGAGAGTTTGGAAGATCAAAAGTATGAGAGAAGTTTTGAATTATGGTTTACCAGAAGAAGTTAGCTCAATAGTCTTTTAATCTTTTTCAAATATTAAACTATCAAAACCTCAATTTGAGAAACAGTAAGTTGTAAAAACAATTCTTTTTTTTTTTGGTTTCAAAATTTTTTACATTTTATTCAAAAAACAATTGATGACAGATAAATAAGACGCTTTTTAGAAGGAATCTATTAAAAGCGACTTCTGAACCAATTATTCCACATTATCTTCTGTTCCTATCAGAATCATATCATTTTATGTTAGGTGCATGATAAATTATCCAAATTTCAAGAATCAATACTTTACACACAAGTCACAAATGATCAATTAAAAAATGGTCGTCGTCCACCATTTTTTGGTTTGTTAATAATGGTCGTAAACTACACCATTCATCATCACAAAAAAACAAAAAAACTCTCTCTCTTCCGAAAGAGCTTACTTTCTATGGCATGAACTACTGTATATCCACACAAACATTTGCCTTTTAAGATATAGTTTTTTTGATAAAGGGCCTTCCAAGATATATAAGCCATTCAAACTTAATTTATTCGTAGCTAGACTAACTTTCTAATGAACTCGGTTTTAAATTTAGTACGTCGTCAAACCCTAGCGTTCTGTGGTTTTGTATCCAGTACTGATTGTTTGTATAGTTGTTAGCTTTTGTCAGTCAAAAATTCAAGATTATGTAAAAGAGCTTGAAAAGTTTCAACGGTTAAAAAAATACTAATCAAACTTTTTACTGGCAAGATAAAAGAAGAATTTGTAAGATTCTACAGGAAACAAACAAAAGAAATGATTTTTATCAAAAAAAAAAAGAATAAAAGAAAAAATTGTTCTTAATTTGATTGAGAGCTAAAATAAGTTTTGTTTTTTTGTTCAATGACAAAAGTTTACAATCTTGACTGACAAAAGTTTAACAACTAGAAGAGATTCTACATGAAACATACACAATACTATCATTTTCTTAAAATATAGAATGAAACTAATCAGAAAGACATAGATGTAACAGAAGAAAGCATATTGATAATACAAAGAGCAACCTGACCCAACTCAAACAACTGATAATTCTCACCACCAATCGCAGACGTCCACGTCATGGCACCACCACCACCGTCACCGCCGTCTCTCTCCTTAAACCCATCCTCACACGTTACGGCGGCTTCCATGGCGGCGCTCACCATCACATTCACAGTATCTCTCTGTTCTTTCGTAACGTAAACCCTAACGGCTTCCTCCAATCTATCCGCCGCGTCCTCGTAAAGCTCGAGGCAGTCACGGAGGCAAGCACGGCCGAAACCATCGTCTTCGAATCCTCCTCCGTCGCTCATTAGTACTTGAATGGTGGAAGCTGTTGCGGTTGCGTTGTCAAGAGCTTGGAGCAGTGGAATTAATGCAAGAGAAAAGAGATTGGTCGGAGGAGGAGAGATTGGAGAGTTACTAAGAGATGAGAGGCAGAAGTTGTGATCGAAGATTGTGGATTTTGATGCGCAAGATTTGCAGGTTTGTTCGATCATATTATCCGTTGCTGAGTTGACTTGTAAGACAAGGAAGAATAAAAAGAAGATGGTGATGAAGAGTTGAGAGAGATTCATTTTTTTTTTTGGTAGTTTTGAGATTCTTCTTCTTAGTTATATAGTTTGGTTTGTATATAAATAAGGATGACTCTATACGACGTCGTTTTGTTTTGTGGGAATATAAATTTTATCTTTTTAAAGGAGGGTTGAGTAAAGCGTTATCAATGGAGGGTTTTAGTTGCTTCTACTCTACTACAATTATGTTACTCAAGCAATTGTTTTTGGTACTTTGGGAACATTCCGCGTTATAACGACAAAAATAATGAGAAGAAAATTACCTAAGTTGTCGCTTTCATTTCATGGAGCCATGGACTGTCGCTTTTGAAAACGGTAGCTTAGACCCTAAACCCTAAATCAGAAACCCTAAACCTTAAACATCACAATTGATCAAACCCGAAACAATAGTACATTTCTATAGGTCGGACTCATTATGATAACAAAAAATTGAGGCAAGATAAAGAGCAAAAAGTTAAAGAGACATGCGATTAGTTTCGTTCTTTTCTTTTCCCTGATCTAGGTATTATTGGGTCTTCCTGGATCTGAATCAAACTTGGAACATAATCGAAAATAACTCCGTGCCTTTCTTTGAATATAGGTTCTCCAAAATGGATTTCACCGTACTCTCCAATAACGCTGACAAAGCTTTTGATGGTTTTATATTCTCCGAGTCCACGTCAACTATCACAACACACAACCACTTTTTTTCTCCTCGAGGATGAAGAAACTTACCCAACTCGAAAACTGATGACTGGTAGACAATTTGGATCTATCTATTGCTAAAAATGTTCTCCACGACAAAACTATGTTCTGATCAATCTTATCAATATTGGTCGTCACCCATATCTCCATGTTTAGTGTATCATAACACTGATATAACACCAGGAGTTGCTCTTTTTAGCAATTGATAGAGCTGAAGTATAAAAACAAATATCCTGATACGGAAGACGCAGACGTTCAAGTTTCTCTGTTGAAAAGTCAAAACTTAGTAGATAGAGATAGTTATCGATAGCAAGCTAGTAAGCAGTTCCTTTCAAAGACACGATCGTATGATGAAGTTGGAACTGATATCAAGAAATCTCCATGAAACAGAGCTAAACTCATATATTTCAAACTTGACAGTAGGTAATTTGTGTCGCTTTTGTTGCAAAACCTCAAGAGTTTGTAGCTACGACAATATTTGCTGTTTTCGTATCCGAGAGCATACATAGAGTATTTGTAGTGACGGTTACTTGGTATGATGCACCTGGTTTAACCAGTCTACCATTATTGGTTGTGCATAACAACAAACCGTCGCAGTGAAACACTATAACAACTTGTCCTCCTGAAGAAGAATGAGATTCCTTTAGGCTAAATTCACTCTTAGACTCTATAGATGGAGCAGCTTTTTTTTTGTTGTCAATTCCATGGAGATTGAAAGTCAGTGAAGAAACCTTATACTCGTTCAACATGAGAACCAAAAGCTGCTTTGATGCTCTATCAAGGTGCTTCTTGCTGAATCGTCTTTGAATAAAGCGTTCCACCGTTTGCAAGTAGATCGGAATCGACTCAATGTTTTGGCCGGAACCCTAGAAAGCATTTCCTCAACCAATTCCGGCGGAAGATGGGACGTCATCATTGTTTCGCTTTGTGATCTTTGGTTTAGAGACGGCTCAGCCTCTGTAATTATAAATTAGGGTCTTTGAGTCTTTTGACAATTCAGACTAAAGCCTAAACCGGATTGTCCACTCTTCATCTACAAGATTCAGTTTCTATGATGAACAGTGGTGATCATGATATGCTGGTGTCTTTCCTTTCAACTCAAGCCTGGATAAGATCTTTGAACTACTCCATCATTGATGATTGGAGGCCATGGATGATAAAAGATGAAATCGCTGGGCAATTAGGTGATTTTATCAGTTTTAGGTTTCTCATGTTTATGTATTATCTCGTGCTGATTAGACTTTTTTTTTTGGTTTGACAGATATACGAGAACTTATGCCAATATGATGATATTTGCTACCCTCAAAGTAATTTTTTTTTATTTCAACTAATTAGCTAACATCTTTATTGTCAATTTTTTTGAATAAAATGTTAAATTATATTAAAAAAAGCTTTTTACTAAACCGAGTTTCTTAAAATTTAAAGCTGAAACAAAGAAAAAACTAAAAACTCCTTTTGCAAACCAAGTTTGCAAGCCATCTTCATACTTGCTGTTGGAACTTAATATTAATAAGAAAATAGTTTTGTAATATTGAGTTTGTATGTAAATAAGAAATGAAGTCTCATAAGCACTGAAGTCTCATAAGTAAATGAGCCTTATAAATCCATATGAGATTTGAGTTTGAACCTATGGAAATGAAATGTTCTCATTAGCTATAACTACAAGTGAAAGTGAAAATGTCTCATATTGCTTAGCAAGGAGAGAAACCTCTTGCATATATATATGGTCTTCTCACGATAAGGGTTAAAAAACTTTGTGAAAATAAAAAGACCTTATGTAAAAACACCTACGCGCACGTCGTCACCGGTGCCGGGCTCCAGCTAGTGCTCATTGCTCATTGCTCATTACATTTTTAATTAGCTCTTGGGCTCTTGGACTCTATATAGCTGGACGTGAATTGTGGATTTCTTGATTCTTTCATGATAATTTTTTGCATAATGAAAGGATAAATCTTAAATAATTAATTAAAGTCTCCAGATAATTAGAAGATTTCCGAATCCTTTTACTTGCGGAAAAAGGAGAATGTCTCAGGAATATTCCTCATGAATATTCATTTTCGCCAAAGCTTATTTCTTGCAGATCAAGCTGAGTCTTCCATATAAATATACGCCTCCTCTCTTCTCATTCCACACACCAAAAACACAGAAAATAATACTTTTCAGCAAATCTCTCTCTTCTTAATATCGTAAGTGTCTCGAAAGTTATATCGTAGTTATTTCAGTTCGTAGATTCTATTATGGGTGTTGCATAATAGTTTCATCACGGTTGTATAATGGGATTCAAAAATTCCTTCATACGACCACACATTACCGGCAATTTATTGAGTTAAGGAAAGTGATCATATCTTGACTCCGGGTTTCGTCTGTTTTCAATCGGTTTTCAAAGTCTTGTTTTCTTCTTTTATCTCAACATATCGTTCATAATATTATTATTTTCAGTCCGGATTTTTGCGGTCTTACAATCTTAACTCACTAAATCTGCTTCCTGCTTATCGCTTAAATCAGACTGAATATTGCAATTTATAAACGGTTTTTGGAAAACGAGTTTTTTTTATAAAAAATCTATTTACAAAGTTTTTTAGGTATTTCGTAAAAACTTTTGATCTTAAAGATGAATCTTCTGAAACGATTTACGCGGCAGTCATAGACAGGTCCGCGAAACAATCTGTTGATAAGAAAAATATTGTTTAAGAACGTCTTAAGATAATTCTGGGAACAACTATTTTCGAGTTCTAAGAATACTTATTGGTAATATCTGTAGAAACTCAAAGCGAATCCTTTTCGGAGAATGCTGTATATAGCGACTTAATCATTTTAATCGCTGTTTTGAATCCTGTTTTCCAATACTATCTTCGGTTATTTTTTGTGAACAGATTCAACTATGACTAACGGTGACATCAACATGACTGTCAATAGAAGCTCAAGTGAAACTAGGGTGCCAGTGTCGGTAACTGTGAGACTTCAGCCCGATAATTTTGACGGTTCGAAATTCAAGCAGTGGAAAAAAAAGATGCACTTCTTTCTATCATCGATGCAGCTAAGCAAGTAACTCACAGAGGATTCCCCACAGGTATCAGAAGGAAATAACGATCCTGCAATTCTAGCTAGTGTCGATGCATGGAATCACTCAGATTTTCTATGAAAAGGGAACATCAAAAATTTTCTGGTGGACCAGCTGTTCGATGTGTACAGCGAGGTCAAAACTTCCAAACTTATAATTACTTTAATTATTTAAATGTGCCCTCATTGTTTCTCTCTTTCTTTCTGAATGTTTGTTTTTGAATTTTTATTCATGTTTAAATATTTCGATTATGTTTGTACATCTGTGTGGGTTTGTGTATCTTAAAACCTGCAGGTTTGTATCTATAAGGTGGAGTGCATATATTATATATCTTATATATGATGTTTTTTTCCAATATTCAATTAATACAATTCGCTAAGAAAAAAAATATGTTTAGATTTAAATGTGGCATCACAGAAAGATTTAATTTTTTTTTTTAAAAATTATAGGTTAAAATTATAGACTTATTTTATAGACTTTAAAATTATATGAACAATATTTAATATAGGATACCTAAACTCGAAAGTTAGAAGGTAAATCGAATCAGAAAGGAAGACATGTAAAGGAACACTTAAAAATAGATATTTAAATAGAAAAAACTAAATTTAACCAGAACAACCACTTAGCCAATTTCTAAAGTAGTCAAAAAGAACAAATTTGGCGACTTATAATTTGGAGTACGCAGGGTGCTTAAAGCATCGGTTGGTTTGGTTATAGCAGTGGTGTAAGATTTCGGAAGCAGTAATCACATAAGTCTTTAACATCTCTTGGGAATTCTCCAAATTCGCATTTCCCGTCGTTTGAGCCTTTCCTAGTTTCCTTGCATTTTAACGCACATTGACGGGGTTAATGGAGTCATACAAAGAGTTATATCTGGCATTTCACATCGGGTGGGATTATATTCCATGAGGTAGTCTTCACTAATTAACTTTGCCTTTCATCGTTGGCATTTCTGTAATCAAGAAATAAGCGAATCGCATATATACAAGTTGAAATATAAAGATAATATATGTTATATACTTATATCATCTTATTACCTAAACAAATGTGTCAAAACGTAATACTAATTGATATTATTGTTGTTACCAAATTTCACACACTTTTCACGATCGAGCAAGAGAAGCAGAAGGGTTAAGATGGAAACAGATTTTCTTATTAAAGATTAATGTCATGATATCATGTATATATGTCAGAGTGATTGATATACACCAAGAAGACAACCAAGATGGGGCCGCCCTTGAGGGCAGGCGAGGGAGGCGACCATCGCGGGTATCTACTTTAAAGAGACATATTTTTTTGTTAATTTTTTTTATTAGAATAATATGTTATTAACTAATATAAATTTATAAGGTATAAAACTTATTGTTATGATTATTATTAGTTTGAATTATTATCAGTTTTTACAATTAGATATTATTTTGGGTTTAAATATTTATATAATTATTATAATATTAAAAAAAATTATGTAACTCTTGTAGTTGAGTCAATGTTTCTACTGATAAATAAATAAACAACCACAAAACAAAATGAAAAAAACAAAAAAAAAGGAAAAGAAAAGAGAAATTTGTTGAGTAAACAGATATCTTATCAAACAAAAACTAAGATCGGCCTGATAGTTTGAGGAGATTATGTGCGAATTTGAAAACTTCTTTAAAGAATGATACACATTCATATATAGACGGTGATGATCTGTTTATGGAACAGAAAATTATTCGAGAATTAATACCAGATGATGTTCATAAGCCTATTGAAGTGCTTGATTTTTTGAAAAAAATGGAGAATTGTTGTCAAACACACAGAACTTATCGCATATTGTTGACCATTCTAGTATTAATTGCCACTGCTGAAAGAAGTTTCTCGAAGTTGAAGCTGATAAATAATTCTTTGCGTTCTACTATGTCATAAGAGCGATTGAATGAGTTAGCTTTGTTATCAATTGAGACAACTATAGTTGAAAAAGTCAACAACGACAGTTTTAATGAATGATTTTGCACAGAAAAATGCAAGAAGATCTATATTTCAGCAAGAAACTATATGTTTTATTAGATTTTTCTTTTCTTACACACTGTTTATGGAGTTTAATTGTTTTATAAAATTTTTATTTCATTTTTTTTAATTTAAAAAAATATATATATGAAAGAGCATATTTAAAAAAATTAACCGCAGACATCCAAATTGATTGGTCTTTGTGGGTATCAAAAAAGATGGAAACTGTAATGTTGCTGATGATCATTTTTGTATCCTTGTGGGTATTGATTGATGGTACACCATTTTTATTATTTGTATGGCCATGAATTTCGTCAATTAAATGTTGGTCCAAAAAGTTGGTTTTGGCAGATCAGATGTAATATGGCATTATACAAGTATAAATTATCACAAAACATATTTAAAAACTAGTAAAACCTCTATAAACTAACATTCAACTGGTCTTGATTCGAGGTAGTATTAAAATTACGAACATTTGATAAGATAATAGGATATTTAATAACTATATAAACTTATACATATATTAAAGTAATATATTAAAATATGATTTTGGTGTGGTTTTTAATTAAAATTGAATTCTCCTTGGAACTTTTCTCTAGCTTACTTATTGCATAAATAAATAGTATTGTATTCTGATATTCTCCATCTACAACCAAAATTCGCAAAAACAATTTACACGCATTGAATGATCATTTATACACAATTGTTTCTAATTGTATTGTAATACGGTTTTCAACAGTATCGAAGATAGTAGTAATGATTTATTTTAAATTTTGAACTTATTAGCATATATTTTTTTCCATCTAGATAATCCATTTTGTTATTAATATATATTCTATTGCAACAATTATATTACTAATTATAGCTTGAAATTTATGTATATTATTTTCACATTTGAATCAATTAGATTTCTTAATATAATATAATTTCAAGGATAATTTTTGGACTAAAAACTACTTTTTATAGTTAATAATTATTAATTTATCGATTAGTTGATATTTTATAAATTAGTAGATGTGATATTAAAATTTTATTTCTAGTGGTTTTACTGCATAGCAGTGCATATTAGAGTAGAGACAAACAATAATTCGGACTATGTTGTATGCTAGAAATAAATAAAAATTCACTGGGATATCAACTTTATTTTGATTTACTTGAGGTTAAATGAAACTAAATAAAATACTCCAGGGTACTTCCGTGTAAAACATGAAAATATTACTGTATGAGTAGACTCTGGGACCACACGCATACACGCATACACGTTACAACGTCAGAGTAGAATGCTGTTCAGATAAGCAGCCACTAGACTGGAGCCTCCGCCGGAATTTATATCTCCGGTTTCTTCACTGAAGATGTCACCGACGTTCTTGAGGTCTTATCTCCTTGCTTACAATTGTCTCCAAGCTTCAGCATGGTCTCTCTCTCTCTTTCTTTCTTTCTTTCTTTCCTTCATGTCTTCTCGTTTTCACACTCTCTTGCCTAATTTGTCAGTTTGTGTTGTTCGGTAGGACGATTTCGCTCCTGAGTATCCTCAACAGCTTAGTATTGAACAAGACAATCAATGGCGCTTACTCTTCTGCAGGATATTTGATAAGTGAGAAGAAATTGTCGTCCCTAATGTCCCCAGCCAAAGTTGGATTGATTATTTTCCTATAAATGATCTCTGTTGTTTGATTCCTTCAGGTGTGATGCAAACTGCTTGTGTTCTTGAAGTTCTTCATGGAGCCTTAGGTAATATATATAACTGGAATGATTTGATGATGTTTGTGAATTTTTTATTCTTTTGTTTTTCCTTTTTGACTGAATGATTGATTGATTTAAGGAATTGTCCCGAGTGGATTATTGTCTCCGCTGATGCAATGGTGTGGAAGAACACACTTCATATTGGCAATTGTTGGACAGATCAAGGAGGTTTGTGTGGTCATTTTTTCTCATAACACTACAAAAAAACATATGAATTGTTTACCACCACATTAATCGGTGTTTGTGTTTCGGTGTTTCCAACGACATTCCGACCAACTTGTTTTTGTCGGAATCTGAGCCTCAGATAACAAGTTTCGTTGGAAAATGTCCGAAAACGAGGTTATCGGAAAATCTTTGGAAAGAGTTGTCAGAAAGTTCTCGGGATGTTTTTGACGAAACTCAGAGAAAATTTCTTATAAGAGAAACATGTTTTTAAGCAAATCTAGCAGACTAATTTATTCTATCTAATTTCACATTTCATCATCATTTAGGTCCAGGATTTGCCGTGGCTGACCATAACACTTGTAGCTTGGTGTCTAGCAGAGGTTAGTTTTATATCTTTATACAGCAATAAGTCAGAGAGAAGTGCCTATGACAAGTTTGTACAGTTGAAAACGAAACGTGTCAATATTATGGTCTTAGAACATCCATTTGAAAATTATGTGTGAACTATGCTTTGGACTTGGATACAGGTTATTAGATACCCTCATTATGCTTTAGCTTGCCTCGGTAGAGGTCCCTACTGGTTAACTTATCTCAGGTACAATATCAGACTTTATTATATAATTATTTGGTTCAATTAACATGTATTGAATATAAGGTTTTACACTCCAGGTACACAGGATTCATCATGTTGTTTCCAACGGGACTAGTGGGTGAAAGTGAGTGCTTTAAAAGTGTTGTATATGTATTGCTCCGGCGCTGGAGATTCTACTACATTTCTTCTTCCTGACTTTTACCACGTTAATGCAGTGTTGACCATGTACAAAGCCCTTCCACATATAAAAGAGATAAATCTTTACGCAAATCTCTTCTCTGTTTTCCCCTTCAGTTACTACGATTTCCTTTGGGTACTTTAACTGCCTCCTTCTTATCGTTATCTCTTCTTTAGATATCTTCATTAGTTATTCCAATAACAATTTTGATGGTATTTTTCTCCAGGCCTTCCTCTTGGTCTACCCGTTCCTTTGGTTGAAGCTTTATCTCCCGCTATTCAGTCAAAGAAAATCTAAGCTTAGAAGACCGGATAAGCATCAGGGCGGGAGAAAGCGAGTGTGATGTGTGTGTTTAATATTTGATTATGTGTGCACCAACTTGTTCCTAAATAAAAACCTTTAAACAATGGAAATTGAGATGGATGTTGGGAGGCAATAATGACAGAAAGCTATCAATCTCGAGATTTTGATATTGTTTAACAACTTGGATATAAAACACAAGGTGTAAAAGCATTGCAAAACACAATAGTACAAAAGAAACACGATGATACATTTTTTTTCTTCTTATTGGACCACAACAAACATTAACAAAAAGTTTCTATTTATCTCCAAACAAATAAATAACAAAAGCACAAAAAAAACGACGACAACAAAAAGTTTTGTATGCAACACAAATTAATAAAAAAAAATGTTTCTGCTATCTTCGGACCACATCAATAAATACTCCGAAAAAATAAATATTTGCTCAAATCATTGTGGTCCGATAAACTTTTTGAAATGAATCATATATATTATAAAAGTAAAAATTTGATTTAAAGCTCTCCTCATGGTAGTTAATTACCCTTTGTCCCTCTATAAAAATTAATTTTTTTTTTTTTAAAATACATCAATTATAATATATCAAATTATTAAACCATCTCCGATCAATCAAATTGTTTATGGATCAGGATGTCGAAATCATGGTTTTCTGAATTTAGAATTAGAACATAACCGCAGTAGGTTTTCACCACAAAAATTATACCCTAACTTCACCTACTCTTATTGTTCATCTTTTCTTGCTTTATATATTCGTTCATTCTTTTTAATCATTGTAAGATTGACTAATTTTGGTTTTTGAACGTATTGGTCACTCTAATTTAGAGAAGTTTAACCGTGATGTGCATCCTTTCGTATGTGTCACATTTAAGAGCTGGTTCTTTTTTTTCTTTGTTCTGATTTAGTATATAAACAATTTATTTTTTGTATTTTTCTTGATCTAATGATCGAATTTTGTGTTGGTACTGATCTGATTAATTTTAGATCGTTGTGCACTTTGTTGATATTCTTTGCTAGAAGGTCGACTGTTTACTTGGCGTGTGTATCTTTTCTTTTTTACGAGATGTATGTATCATGTTTGTGAACTTGTGTGTTGTTTCTTTTTTTGCTTGCCTGATTTTCTTGGTTTAGCGATTGATTTTACTGATTTTTCTGATTCCATTGATCTGTTGACTTTCTGCTTTGTTGGTGGCTGAGCGATCTTAATATAGATCCCTGTGTTTCGTTATTCTCTTCTTCTCTATTTGATTCTTTGGGATTTGCTTGCGTTTTGCTTATCTAAAAATAGATCGATATTGTATGCCCTTCTTTTTCCTTATTTTTTTTTGTATCTAACGGTGATTATTATTTTTGTTAGGTGCTGTTTATTTGGGTTTAGGTTATCTGAGTAGCTGGTTGTTTCTTTTGGCACAATGTCGAAAGGTAAAGTTTAGGGTTTTTGCATATGAATTAGTTATTGATTTTGTGCTTGTGTTAGTTTGTTACGCTTGTGTTTTATATATGAACCGGGTTTGTTTGATTAGTCTGATTGTTATTGTTTATTTGGGAAAGTCCACACTGATGACTGTAATTTGCGTTCAGGAATGGTCATAGTTTTCTTTTTCCTACGTGAATTATTCTTAGATCTTTGTTGTTATCTATCCAGATTTGGAGTCACACGCCAGGATGTGAATGCTGACCCGATGTATACATTGGGAAAGCCCAAACTGATGATATCTATAGCTTCTGTTAAATTCTCTAGCATGAGAGAATTCTGGTGATAAGAAGTTTTGATGGTTCTCTAAAGGTAAAATCATTATCCTGTTTTTGACCAGTTTGTCAATAGTAAAAACTGAATATTTTCTTTTGATCAGGTCTGGGACTTGGGTCAGATGAAAGAAACTCTAAAGGTGTTTGAGGGTCTCTTTAATAAGACAGTACAATGGCAGACTTGCTCGAGATTGTTTAAAAAAGTCAGAATATTTCCTGCTTCAGGGTGCAATGTGATTGGCACTCGAGGTTGAATCAGATAAACAACAACAATAATATAAACAATATTTTCTTCTTCTAAAATCTAATTTCGACTTCACACTAAGGTTTCTATTGTACATATACTAAATTTTTGCAACATCTAGACACAAAAGCCAAGGAGGAACATCACATTCTTTACGATCCAACTCAGGCGAAAGAGGTGCATGCGTCTGTGTTGCACATGCACTAAGGAAAAGATCTGTAGAAGATTACCAACCAGAACCAGTAAACACAATCCTCATGCATTACCATTGTTCAGAGAGCCACCAAGCCGTAATAGACAAAAAAAAAAAAATATGATCCTGCTAAAGCGCCTAAGCTTTCCATGACTGGAAGTGGTAGTCTGGTAGTGGCTTATCAACAGAGTATCTTCTCAAATCTCAAGGTAAGGTGCTGTCCTATCTATCTTCTTCGAGTTCTTGGACTTACATTATTTGTGATTTGTAATGTCTTAGAAGTTTGACGTTGTTGTGTGTTTTGCAGCAAGGTGGAATGATAAAAGAGACTTGGATGGAGAAAGATCCAAGAGAATCAATTTTGAAAAACGAAAAAGTTGCTGTTAAGGATCTAAGTTTATTGCACCTGCTTACTTTCACTCCAGCCCATGACCATCTTTACTAAGTGTAACGATGAAGGAGAATACAAAGATGTCAAAAAATAATTAGAGTGTTTCAAAAAGTATTTTATTTTTCCCAACAATCATTTGTATTATGTATATTGGATCATATCATGCTACATTTGAATAACAGAATGCATTATTTATATCCCAAAATAAATTGCATGGTATTGATGTAAGAATTATGAAATCATGGACTGTTTAACTGTGTAGACTCCAGTTTATTTTTCAATAAAAACAAATATCTGGAATTATTTACTTAGAAGATTAAATCAATTTGATTGGGTAAAAGCGGCTATGTTAAAGAAAAAGTTATATTTATAACCCATTTCAAAAAATAGCAACATCATTCTTAGGAACAAACATAAGTGTATCCAAATATATTATTTTGAACTAATTTTAGAAGCGAACTACTAGACTCTGCACGCAGAAAATCAATAATTGGAAAGTAACTGAAAACAAAATAAACCTAAAAATTAATGCTTTCTTTCCTAATTTCACAATAATTTTTGTACTACCATTAATGGAATTTAATAAAAACATAAATTAGATGAATAATAAGAAAACGAATACATTTATTAAGAACTGAAAGATGGAAGACGAAAAGGAGGAATATGACGGGATAAAAAAAGATGAACATTTATTGCAGTATTACAAAAAAAAAATTTTGGCCTTGAGTTCGCCCTAAAAACTCTCTCGGGCACACCTCCCTAGGCGCCTCCTTCCTTTGCTCAGATCTAGCTTCTCCTCATTTATCACCGGCCGTTTGTTAACGCTCCGCCTCTCCCCTCCTCCTTTACTCACATCGGCTTCTTTGCGTCGAGCCTTTCTCTGGCCTTTGGCCATGAGAAAGGGCCGACACCTTTCTCCTCCACCTTTCTCCTCCGCGCCGTCTTGTCTTCAGTCTCTTCCATTATGTTGCTCCATTGCTTCTCGTCGTCACGCAGTCTTCCCACATCGTCTTGCCGTCTCCCCGTCTCCATGCCTTGTTGTCTTGCCGCATCGCTGTCTTTTTGCCTCGACTCATCACTGCCGGAGCCCCCATATCTCATTCGGCCTGTAGCTATGTGTTTTGCTGCTTGGAAGGTCGATTTTAGAGTGCTTTACTCTCCCCTGCTCTCCTTCGTCAGATCTGGCTTCTTGTCGCCAGCGAGTCTTCCTCTCCTCCCTGCAAGGCTGTCCCTCATTGTTGGTCATTTGTTACTCAAAAGATGCCTTTCTGCAGTTGGTTTTGGAAAGCTTGAAGCTCGCTTCTGTACGACTGCCTCCATGACCGCTTTTTTCAGAGAGTTTAGCTCATCCTCCGACAATACCATCTTCCTTCCTCTCCCGATCTTCCAGGTTTGCTCCGGCTCTTCACTCTCTGTTTCTTCTGCTTTGGAATGTTATCGGATGATTGTTGAGTGGGTGGCTCTGGTTTTGTGGAATCCGGGTTTAGTTTGTTATGTCCTGATGGTTTTAATCTCCTTCGATTCCACTCTTCTGCCCTGTAGTGGCATACTTGTCGCCTTCGTGCGACCTTTTACTGCGGTTTGCAGTGTCTTTACTGTGGTATACAGTGTCCTTACTGCGGTATGCAGTTTCTTTATTGTACTCATTCCGGTTTTTGGTGCTGCTTTCTTTTGATGGCAGATTGAAGAGAAATTAAACATTACGTCTCCTCCGGTGATTCAAGTTCCGTCGGGTATTTGTCTTCCCGTTACCTCCTTTATGGAGCTGTTTCTCTTTCCAATATTTCCTCCTTTGTTGAGTGGTTTGGATGTTCAAGCATCGTTGGTATTGCAAGATTCTTCCTCCCGGCTGATGGTCTTCTCTGCCTATGATGCAGTGTTTGTAACCTTTTGGGTTGCATTGGATGCAGTCTTTCAAGAAGTTCATGAGATCGTTTTGGTGTTTCGATTTTTTATGGCTTTTTATGAGTTGTATTGCCAATCTATCTTTTGGCACTTGTTGCTTTGCTTTCATGTATTCTCCTTTTTGTTGGTTGTACTTGCTACTCGGTCGATAGAGTTTGAGGCTTCTAAGTAATGAAAAAGTATTTGTTTGACCAAAAAAAAAAAGAAGATGAACATTTGAAAAAAAAAACTAGAGGAATAAGAAGTTGAGTAACCAAAGGAAGAAACAAAACTGAGCTCGATGTTACATTGTTACTATGTGATGAGAATGCATGAGATAACAGTGGTCTTGAAATCTTGAATGATATAACATTAAACATGAATGTAAAAAGGAAGTATTGAGATTGAGAATTGGTGTATTACATGTGATGAAGAGTTTGTGAAACCAAATAAAGATGAAAGCATAAATGATTGATCGTTTGATAGAAAAAATGAACAATATTGAAGTTGAACTATGTTTGTCGAACTGAAATTTGAGAATAGCTGAATAAACATAAATCGAGAAATAAGGAAAGTACTTAAAATGACATACATATTTAGAGAAACAAGCATTTCTTAAGAAAAAAAATGGCAATGATCCATAAAAAAATCGATGAATGATCAAAGAAATGTCAGAGATATAATATTCAGCAAAAATAAATCATTTCTAAACTTTGTTTAAAATGCTTGATGAGAACCATGAAAGCTATATATAAACAGAAACAATGGTTGAAACAATAAAGATGTTATGACGATAAAACAATGTGTAATTGATATAATGAAGAAAAAGGAAGAGATGATGAAGGTGCTTGAAGGTAACTTAATAGAAGAGAGAGAAAAGTTGAAAGATGCAAAACGTATTGACTATGGATGTTATCATTTATGAAAAAAAGAACATGATGGTGTTTTTGAGAAAGAAGAAAGGGAGATCTAAATTACGAGAAGGAAGAAGAAAACAGGTAAAAATGGAAGAAAAAATAAGAAAAATAAAAAATATAAGAAGAAGAATAAAAAAATTATATAATACTTGAGATGTAGAACAAAAATACTTCAAGAACACGTAGTTTATCAATATTATATATTATTTATGCTTAATATGTTAGTAAAAAAGTTAAATTCTTTAGATCGATATTTTATCACTGTTTGTTTATCTATGTGTTTATAATTATTGTATTATTAAGAAAATTAAAGTATAAGTATAGTTTTTACATATGGTTAGTTTGTACTGTTTTTTACTCTAAAAAACAGATTCATGATTTCGACTACATATTCAAAGAAAAAAATAAATACTATGAATGTTTTGATATATTGTTGATCTTTGTTAATTTATGCAATAAATATTATTAACTATTATTATAAATGCTTTTTAGTTTTATATTTAGTTAGAGTTACATTTAATAAAATATTCTGATTAAAATTTGGTGTCCGCTCAAGGCGCGGATTAAACACCTAATCATGTAATAAAAGCATTTTAGTCTGACGAGCGCAAAATTTTTTATATCTCAAAACTAGGATAAAATGCATATTAGTGCCCCAAGTGAGATAATCCATGCTAGAACTTAGGCATAGTGCCTAAACATATATCAACTTATAATATTTTAAATTTGCATATCCTAATTATAATTTCGTAGCTAATATCAGAATTGACCAAACGTTGGTAAAACAGTTTACAACTCAGCTATCAGAATCAGCTAGCCCGATAACTAAGTTATATAAAATTGCTGAGTTATAGATGCTACATCCGCGTCAAGTCATTAATATGTTTTTTTAACATTAATTTTTGTTCTTAATTTTTGTGTGTAAATGTTTTATGATTTGATTAATATTAATTACCTAAACATTATACTTTAATCTTAATTTGGTAGATTTTGAGTTTGTTTTTAATCACAAAAAATGAGAATATTTATTTACTTTATTTTTTATAGAATTATCGCTTAGAAAAATAAAAAAATTTCCATATATATGGACGGATAAACAAACCAAATTAAATATAGCAAACTATTTTTTTTAATAGGAATATAAATACCAAGACTAAACAAGCATATCTTCAATAACTTAAAACCAATCAGAAACATGATGAAATAAAAATTTCGTAAACATAAATATATACGGTAGAATATCATCTGACCCAATTGAACAAGAATTTATTAGTATACACCAAGTGATCTGAATTTCGAATCTCATAAAAAGTAATTATTATTATTTCTGCAGATTAATGGAGAGAAGTTTACCCGAGATTTTCAGTGTGGTGCAAGTAGAACTATTTAGCATATATGCTCATAAAGCGGTAGAATTATTTGTTGTAGAATCAATATAGTTCTCATATTTTGTAATAGATAATAGATCAGTGTTAGTATATACAGTAATGGATCTAAAAACAAATTAGTTGGGAGCATAATTTTATAAATAGAGAATTTTTTTTGTTGAGAGTAACTTTGTCTTTTTTACCACTAAATTAAAAAAATTTAATTAAATTTACCTAAATTATTTATAAAAAAAAAAAAGTAAAGACACGTAACTCCGTTCGACCATCACTACATCCGTCCCTGAGTATATAT